ACAAATCTTAGAAACACAACATAAACAGCAATATCAAAGTTTAGTATGCAAATAAAATACAATTTACCTAATTCTTTAGGAAAGTTCTACATTCTATTTCCTTTGTCATGAACATAAATTTAAAATTTGAAGACTACTTAGTGATTAAAGATGTCTGTTAGCTTACTGCAAAACTGTTCTGGGAAAGGGTAAATTTGAAACAAAGGGAAGGAACCATGTAATTTACTATTGTTCAATCCTCTTTCAATATAGAATGGGGACTTGGGCAATATTATGGTGTATGTGTGTGTTAGAATGAGTGTATCTGCTTATGAGGTCCAGAATTTTATTTTTTGTCAATTTCCTAGAATTGATGTTGTTAAAACCATGATTCTAGTTTTGTCCCTTTGGAGGTTGAAATCCACTCATAAGTGTTTATCAAATTAGAAGATACCAAAATGAAACAATCTTGTTAAGCAACTTAAATTTACAGCATCTTATTTGTTTTATTCAAAATTGGCATTGGGGTCTTTATTCTGTGAAGTAGAACATCTTGGAATTTATCCCATTTTGTCAGTCTTTCAACATTTTATGTGAATATGTTTACTTTATATCTTAGTATAAAAGTGTTTATCTTCTAAGTATCAGTTTTCAATGTTGTATTTAAGAGTTTACCAGGAGCATGGATATAGTTTCCTGAGATCTTGAGTCTGTGAGGAATTATTAACTTTATTAAAAGATATGAAACTCTTCCCTCAACCTTTCCTTTTTCACAGTTGTCTGTGTGTTTGTTGTTTGTTTCCAAGTTAATAGAGATGTTATATAAACCTGCCTAGATTGTTGGCTTTTAAGTGTCCTTGAAACGTTAAATTTGTGGTGGAGTTTGGAAGAGGATAACATTATTATGTCTTTTTTTTCCTCCCAAACACCCCACAACTGTAAATGTACATTGAATATCTGTGTTCCTGCAAAATTCTGAGTTCTGTCCTTTTCTGGTTTTAAGGATTGTGTAATGTTACAGGTGAAGAGATAGGGATTAGATATCTGGCTGTAAGGATAGGGAGACTGAGTTAGCCAGAGTTGATAGGATAGAATGAGAGTCAGGAAGGGTATTGGGGAAATCTCTTGGCAAAGGGAGAAAATCAGTGGGATGATAGATTTGAATGGAAGATGTAGATAGAGTTCTGAGACTGGAAAATATACAAGGAATAAATATAGGAGGAATAGGAGGAATAAAAAATATCACAAGGAGCTACTTTGCTTCTTGTTTGTTTTTCAATTTTTTCTTCTTTTGGTTTAGTTTTTAAATATTACATGGCTGTATGAAGTGTGTTGTTTGTTGGTTATGATGTTTATTGGTTATTAAATTTTTGCTTTCTACCTTACCAAGTTTTCCTTTTATAGAATAATATGTAATAAATTAATATTATATAAAACATTATTTGGGGGATTTTAAAGGTAAGAATATGAGAGAGTGAATGAAACAAGGAGGTCAGATGGTTTCAAGAAATGTTCTCATGTGGAAACATCAATCTCGAAAGCCTAGGCCAGCTTTATAGGTTAGACTCATTCATCACTCAGAGTTGATTGTGTTCAAGTGGACTGATTCCTGGATGGCAGGTTCACAAGATAATAATGTTGTATTTGTCATTATTTCATAACATTAATCTCAACCAAAGGTAATGAACAAAGTCAAAATAAGAGTTGTCAGTTGAAGGGCCCTGGGGACTGATGTCAGAAAGGTTTAGGCAGCCTATATTACGGTTTTAGTGGACCACAGTGACACATAGTGTTGTGTTAGGGTGCTCTTTCCCCTGGTTAGTGCTAAGTACACATGAATTCCTACCTATTTGGTATATTTTAAAATCAGGATTTTTTTTTTTATCAGTGTGTGCATTTGCTATAGTAATATTTATATATGTACAGATGAATCCTGCTTTGTTCCAGAAATAATTTATTATTATTTTTTTAAAGCTTACATGTTTATTTCCTAAACTTGATTTTAAGCCATTCTGGACTTAACACTCTTTAATATCACTCAGAGAACCTAATATACATGTTAGTTGTTAATAAATATTTATTGATTATTTAGTAAATATGAGCTTTCATTCATATGTTCACTCGTTCAATAAGCAATGTTTAAATGCCTTCTATTTGTCAGTTACTATTTTACATAATAATGACATAATGTTAGTGCCAGTACTACTTGGAGTTTTTGTGCAAGTGGAAAAATAAACATCTATAGAAGGGAAGATGTGCAAATAATTATAATGAAGTCAGATGAATGTTTCCAGCAGGAAAAGTAAACAAAGCTATGGAAATATTATATCAATTAGGATACTTTTGGTCATAAGTAACAAAATTTAACTAATAATAGCTTAAACCAAGGGTTCACAAACTTTTTTGTAAAGGGCTATATAGTAAATAATTTAGATTTTCTGGACCAGAGTTTGTCTCTGTTGCAATTACCGAACTTTGCAACCATAGATAATATTAAACTAACAGACAGGCTATATTCCGATAAAATTGTGTTTACAAAAATGGGCATCTGGCTAGGTATGGCCCAAGAGCTATCATTTGTCAATGCCTGGCCTAAACCATGAATACGCCTACTACTAATATAACAAGCAGTTTAAAGGTAAGTAGTCTGAGAGAGGCCCTTTTTATCCTCCTCGCAGGCCAATGTCAGCATGTTGGCTTTCATCTTCAGTCTCGACACATTCTGGTTGCGAGATGTCTCCATGAACATTAAGCTGATTGATCTAGACTTGTCTGAGTATTGGGGAAGGGCTCTCAGAAGAAGTGATGTTTACACCTTGAAAGAAGGAAGAGAGGGACAGGAATGTTCCATGCAAATGAACTTCATATGGAAAGGCTTGGAGGCAAGCAAGAGGGTATGGTATATTTGAGGAACTGAAGTCCAATGGGCTTTGGTTTAGAGTAGAAAAGGAATAATGATGAGAGATGATTTGGGGAGGACCTTATATCATCTTAAGGAGTTTAAAGTTAGTTATAGAGGCAGTGGAAAGCCAATATAGAGTTTTAAGTAGAGAAATGATAGGATCTGTTCTACGTGGGGTCTGAACAAAATACTGCATTCACAGTTGATGTAATAATGATAAGCATCTAACATTTTTTTTTAATTTCAGAATATTATGGGGGTACAAACATTTTGGTTACATATAATGCCTTTGCCTCGCCCGAGCCAGGGCTACAAGCATGCCTTTCCCCGATGCAGCGCACTCTGCGTCCATTAGTTGTGCATTTACCCACTTTCACCACCTCTCCTCCCCTGACCAGCACCCAGTGAATATTACTGCCATGTGAGCACCTTAGTGTTGATCAGTTAGTACCCATTTGATGATGAGTACATGTGGTGCTTGTTTTTCCATTCTTGTGATACCTCACTTTGAAGGATGGGCTCAAGCTCTATCCAGGATAATATAAGAGGTGCTAGTTCAGCATTGTTTTTTGTTGTTGAGTAGTATTCCATGGTACACATATACCACATTTTATTAATCCACTCATGTATTGATGGGCACTTGAGTTGTTTCTACATCTTTGCAATTGTGAATTGTGCTGCCATAAACATTCGAGTGTAGATGTCTTTATTATAGAACGTCTTTTTTTCCTTTGGGTAGATGCCTAGTAGTGCAATTACTGGATCAAATGGTATTTCTATTTTTAGCACTTTGAAATATCTCCAAATTACTTTCCACAGGGGTTGTACTAATTTGCCATCACACCAGCAGTGTAAGAGTGTTCCAGTCTCTCCACATCTACACCACCATTTGTTGTTTTGGGACTTTTTGATAAAGGCCGTACTCATTGGAGTTAGGTGATACCTCATTGTGGTTTTGATTTGCATTTCCCTAATGATTAGAGATGTTGAGCACTTTTTTATATGTTTGTTGGCCATTATTCTGTCTTCGTTTGTAAAGTTTCTGTTCATGTCATTTGCCCATTTATTGGTGGGGTTGTTTGGTTTTTTTCTTGTTAATGTTCTTAAGTTCTATGTAGATTCTTGTTTTCAGCCCTTTATTGAATGTGTAGAATACAAATATTTTCTCCTATTCTGCAGGTTGTTTATTCACTCTGATGATAATTTCCTTGGCTGTGCAGAAGCTTTTTAATTTGATCAGGTCACATTTATTTTTGTTCCTGCTATGATTGCTTTGGGGGTCTTCTAGAGAAATTATTTGCCTAGGCCTATGTCTATAAGAATTTTCCCAACATTGTCTTCTAGAATTCTTATAGTTTCACGCCTTAGGTTTAAGTCTGTTATCCATTGCGAGTTGATTTTTGTGAGAGGTGAGAGGTGGGGATCCAGTTTCAGTCTTCTGCATGTGGTTATCCAATTTTCCCAGACCCATTTATTGAATAGATATTCTTTTCCTCAATGTGTATTTTTGTCTGCTTTGTCAAAGATTAGATGATAATATGAGGTTGGTTTTATATCTAGGTTCTCAGTTCTGTTCCATTGGTCTATGTCCCTATTGTTATGCTGGTACCATGTTGTTTTGGTTACTATAGCCT